GTGCAGCACATCCCGTGTGTGCAGCCATCCCATCCCTGGTGCAGCACGTCCCCACGCTGGCTGCCCCCACGGCACAGCCACTGCCGGTGCGTGCACTGTGTTCTGATGGGTTTGCTCAGGCCTGAACCCCAGAGAGCGGCTGTTTAATATTTATCAGCTCATAAATACTTAAATGTAATGAATGTGACTTAAGTGGTCCCTGATCCTGCTCACACTGAAGAGCTCTTGAGACGTGCTGGGCCAAGGGAATCCTTCCTGGGGCCCGTGCACATCACTGGCAACTGCCCTGCCCAGGCAGAGCAGAGCCACTGATACATCTGTGGGAGCTGCAGCACCACTCCTGCCCAGCAGCAACCTCTCCTCCCAAAACAGGCCTGAACGCTCCCTCCCCGCTGGGACCATCCCAGGACCCTCCAGTCGGGGACCTTATCTTCAACATAGCATCTCTGTAATTATTTCCCCTTCCCTGTCTCCTGATGAAGAGACCTGACTCAGGTGGGAGCTGCCCTGGGAGCAGTGACTCCGGTGGCTCTGTCCCTGTGAGCTGAAGCTGCAGGTCTGGACCAGCACATTGAATATAGCCAAGGTATTCCCCGCTGCACAAGGAGCATCGTTCATCCCACTGGCTAAGGACTGATCACAGCGGTGTGAGCACTGAGAAAATTTCATTCATTTCTTTTTAATTAATAAAATTGGTTTCACTGCTGTCTCAATGTTTACTGGCAGTGGCAGGGATGGGAATGCAGGCAGGGCCCTGGGAGTGACTGTGGGGGACCGCCAGCCCCATCCCCCCCCACGATGCTCCTCACACACCTTATTCCATGTACACAGAGCCGAGCAGCAAATAAATACAATCGTTAACAGAAGCCTCCAACCCCTGGAGATGATGGATGCTCAGGGGTATCTGGGATGTGGACACATTCAAGTTGGTCAAGTTTCCTCTTATTATTTCATCAGGCTGCAGTAAGGGACAAAAACACACTGCCAGCTGGGATCTGTCACCACTGCCCAGGATGGATACAGCTGGATGTCACCTGGCAATGCCACACCCACTTGCCCAGGCAGTGCAGAGACACAGAGGTGCTGCCTGTGGTGCCAGCTCTGCCCCCGCAGTGACCCTGTCTCCGCAGGCTCCCTCCACAGCACGGGTCACCCACAGGCTCTGTGGGCTGTGCCCCGCTGCCTGCCTTCCCCTTCCCCAGAGGAATCCTCCAGCCTTTTCCAGCAAAGGTGTCTCTGTGCAGCTGCCAGGCTCCCACCTTCTGCTCCCCAATCTTCCCTCCAGCCCCACACTCCTGCCCATTGGCACTTGGAGAGTGCAGGAGCTGCCCGTGGGCACCAAGTCCCCAGGGTTGTCCCTGCCCGCAGCACGGGGGACACGAGCTGTACAGAGGAGGAGCTGATGTCTGTGTCTGTGGCTGCCAGCCCAGCCCGGGTGCCAGTCCGGTGCCCATTCCCGGTGATGTGCCCACACACTCAACAGATTAACGCTTTTCATTTGCTCTGAATGTTTTCCAAGTTCCTCTCCAAGCCCTGCCCAGCTTTCCATGAGCAGGAGTGTGTAGCAATGAGAGGACCTGATGGCATCTGTATTGCACTGAAGTCCAGGCATCACTGCATAATTCATTACCTGACAGATAATTAGCTGGCTGGTCCAATTAGTGACTCCTGTACAGCCAGGGCTGCGGGTGCAGGGGCTGGCACTCACGGCAGGCTGGTGGCCACAGGGGCTGACACCTGACAGTGCCCATGCTGGTGGCTCATGGGGCCCACGGGGATGTCGGCTGCTGGGGACCTTGTACCAGCAGATGGGGGTGGGTGTCACACCCCAGGGTACTGCAAAGCACCTGTCAGAGGCACTTTGGCGCTGGCTGGGGCTACTCACAGCCCAGCAGGAACACCAACCCCACAGTGGTCCCCTGGGCTGGCCACAGGATCGCTGCTGCCAGCTCCCAGGAGCTGGATCCCAGGGCTCTGCTGCCCTGCTCCTGCAGCGAGCACACGTGAGGGCAGCAACCCGGCTCCGGCACACTCCGGTGGCTGGAGATAAGGACAGCTTAGGGATAAATATTTACCCAGTGACTGAGTGGATTCAACTGAGTTCGTTCCTATTAGAGGATCTGTTAGTAATTATCTGAAGACTCGTTATTACCTGGGGACCTATAATCTGCCAGAGTAATGAGTTCAAGTGGCTCATGTGGCATAACAAACAGGAAAGGGAAGGTGGGAAGGGGCCACTGCCATTGCAGCAAGGGCAGGGCACGGCTCAAGGACAGTGGAGTCGCTTGGCTTTGAGGAACTGCTGCCACAGCACCCCATTCATGGGACACAGAGCTGCTGCTTTGCCTCCCCACAGCAGGTCAGGGACAAACCCTGGTCAGAGCTCAGGGCCAGGCAGAGTTCAGCGAGCCCAGAGAGGCAAAAAGCTGAGATCTGAGTGGAACCACCACGTCTCTGGGCAGATGTGGCTGTCGGGGATGTGCTGTGGGACATGGCCCCTCTGCCAGCCATGGGTGAATCCCAACTCCAGGGGCAGCCCTGTCCCAGTCCTGCCACCCACAGGGACTCACTCTGCAAACCTGAAACAACTTTGTCTGACTCAACTAAAATTAACTAGAAAGACCAGGAGGTGAGGCAGATCATCCCCTGCAGCAGATATTGATGGATCCCACAGCTGCAAGGGAGGAAAATCCCCTCCTGGGACACACATTCAGGGTTCATGCATGTTAGCAGAGGGCATGGTCCCCACTGCCATCACCATTTGGCATGTGCCTATCCCCATGTCTACCCCTGTGTCCATCCCCATGTCCATCCCCGTGTCCATCCCTGTGTCCATTCCTGTGTCCATCCCTGTGTCCATCCCCATGTCCATCCCTGTGTCCATCCCTGTGTCCATCCCCATGTCCATCCCTGCGTCCATCCCCATGTCCATCCCCATGTCCATCCCC